ATAACCAGTGCAGAGTGGATGTGTTCCCATCATAACCAGTGCAGAGTGGGATGTGTTCCCATCATCCATCATAACCAGTGCAGAGTGAGATGTGTTCCCATCATAACCATCATAACCAGTGCAGAGTGGGATGTGTTCCCATCATAACCAGTGCAGAGTGGGATGTGTTCCCATCATAACCATCATAACCAGTGCAGAGTGAGATGTGTTCCCATCATAACCATCATAACCAGTGCAGAGTGGGATGTGTTCCCATCATAACCAGTGCAGAGTGGATGTGTTCCCATCATAACCATCATAACCAGTGCAGAGTGGGATGTGTTCCCATCATAACCATCATAACCAGTGCAGAGTGGATGTGTTCCCATCATAACCAGTGCAGAGTGGATGTGTTCCATCATAACCAGTGCAGAGTGGATGTGTTCCCATCATAACCAGTGCAGAGTGGGATGTGTTCCATCATAACCATCATAACCAGTGCAGAGTGGATGTGTTCCCATCATAACCATCATAACCAGTGCAGAGTGGGATGTGTTCCCATCATAACCAGTGCAGAGTGGGATGTGTTCCCATCATAACCAGTGCAGAGTGGGATGTGTTCCCATCATAACCAGTGCAGAGTGGATGTGTTCCCATCATAACCAGTGCAGAGTGGATGTGTTCCCATCATCCATCATAACCAGTGCAGAGTGGATGTGTTCCCATCATAACCATCATAACCAGTGCAGAGTGAGATGTGTTCCCATCATAACCAGTGCAGAGTGGGATGTGTTCCCATCATAACCATCATAACCAGTGCAGAGTGGATGTGTTCCCATCATAACCAGTGCAGAGTGGGATGTGTTCCCATCATAACCATCATAACCAGTGCAGAGTGGGATGTGTTCCCATCCATAACCAGTGCAGAGTGGGATGTGTTCCCATCATAACCAGTGCAGAGTGGGATGTGTTCCCATCATAACCAGTGCAGAGTGGATGTGTTCCCATAACCATCATAACCAGTGCAGAGTGGGATGTGTTCCCATCATAACCAGTGCAGAGTGGGATGTGTTCCCATCATAACCAGTGCAGAGTGGGATGTGTTCCCATCATAACCATCATAACCAGTGCAGAGTGGGATGTGTTCCCATCATAACCAGTGCAGAGTGGGATGTGTTCCCATCATAACCAGTGCAGAGTGGGATGTGTTCCCATCATAACCAGTGCAGAGTGGGATGTGTTCCCATCATAACCAGTGCAGAGTGGGATGTGTTCCCATCATAACCAGTGCAGAGTGGGATGTGTTCCCATCATAACCAGTGCAGAGTGGGATGTGTTCCCATCATAACCAGTGCAGAGTGGGATGTGTTCCCATCATAACCAGTGCAGAGTGGGAGGAGTGAAGTGGGAGGTTTGAGTTCCGGTTATCTTTATGTGACGCTGCTGAGCTAACGTTAGCTTAGCAGCGTTAGCTCGGTCTGTCACTGCAGCTGTGTCGACCCTTCAGGTGAGTTTCCTTCAGGTGAGTTTCCTTCAGGTGAGTTTCTCGAGCCCTCACATATTTTAACCCTTTGATAGTCTTCACCGATGAATGACGTCACGGTGTGTTAACGTAGCATGAAGGGTCGCTGCCTTTAAGGCCCGGTAACTGGTTAGCTAGGCTAGGCTAGGCTAGGCTAACTGGTTCAACAACAACTCAGTTTGATCATTTATTTATTCAACGAGCAAATTAATCATTATTTTCTGTCATACAGTAAACATGTGTGTGTGTGTGTGTGTGTGTGTGTGTGTGTGTGATATCTACTCATGGCAACCCTTTAGTGATATTAATTATCAACAACACAGGAGTGAAGTTTGTCCACTCCATGCTAACATGCTAACATGCTAACAGGGCACTTTTTTGTGATTTAAAAAAATCATTTTATATATATTTCACTTAAAACACAACATGTAAACACAACATGTAAACACAACACGTAAACACAACACGTAAACACAACACGTAAACACAACATGTAAACACAACATGTAAACACAACATGTAAACACAACACGTAAACACAACACGTAAACACAACATGTAAACACAACATGTAAACACAACACGTAAACACAACACGTAAACACAACATGTAAACACAACATGTAAACACAACATGTAAACACAACACGTAAACACAACACGTAAACACAACATGTAAACACAACATGTAAACACAACATGTAAACACAACACGTAAACACAACACGTAAACACAACATGTAAACACAACATGTAAACACAACACGTAAACGTAATTGTCTCGTTTCTACTCTCACTTTAACTTCTGTGTCACTGATCATTTACAGTTAATCTTTCATATTTAAGACGAGTTTAGTTAAATCCTGTTTGTTTATATTCTCTTTCTTAGTTTTGATGTTTTTAGTGTTTATTTACTTTGTATTTAATATTATATTGTGTTTAGATTTACTAACATTGTGTTTGTTGCTCATATTGTGTGTTTGGACAACCTGCTGCTGTAACAACACAATTTCCTCTCCTCTCCTCTCTCCTCCTCCTCTCTCCTCTCTCCTCCCCTCCTCTCCTCTCCTCTCCTCTCTCCTCCTCCTCTCTCCTCCTCTCCTCTCTCCTCCTCTCCTCTCCTCTCCTCTCCTCGCACTTCTAAAACAGTGAGTTTTTGAGTTTTCTAAAACAGGGCTCAAACAGAGAATATGTGAGTTAAGCTGTTCACAGATTGAGGAGTAGCCTGTTTCAAAAATGTCCTGACCTGGAGATAAATTTACACACACCCCAATTCAGCCCTGACAGGGGAAGGTAATGTCTGGAAGAGCTTTGACAAGAAGTGCAACCTTAATGTGTAGTGCAAGATATGTGGTTTTGACCTTGAATATTATAGATATACTAGTTTGATGCTTTGGGCGGCAGTAGCTCAGTCTGTAGGGACTTGGGTTGGGAACCGGAGGGTCGCCGATCACCTCCTGAGCTCTGCCGAGGTGCCCTTGTGCAAGACACCGAACCCCCTCCCCATCAGCTCAGGAGCGCCACTGTGGGCCGCTCCGTCACTCTGACATCTCTCCATTAGTGCATGTCCATAGGATCCTGTTTCTGCATGTGTGTGTTCATGACTAACAGAGTGTAAAAACAGAAATTTCCCTTGCGGGATCAATCAAAGTAAATCTTAATCTTAACCACATTTGCTTAAACAGCAGAGACAGACAACAGGCAGCACATGTCATTGTGATCAAACCAGAGCAGAGAAGATTAGTCTGCTTAAATAAAACGTGTTGACTGAATATAGGCTACCATTAAGTTTTGTGGAAGATGAAAGCTTCTTTGAGCCGATGGCATTTGACAAGCAGGTGCACAAGCCACCATTTGGGCGTACACCAGCTACAAGAGCGGCCGCTGTTTGTTCTATGATCATCTAAGATTAAGATTTACTTCATTGATCCAACAAGGGGAAATTCTGTTTATCATGCAACACACACACACAGGCTGAAGTATACTCATGCACAAACAGGATCCTATGGACATGCACTAATGGAGAGATGTCAGAGGGTTAGCGGGCGCTGCTGAGCTGGTGGTGGGAGGGGGTTTGGTGCCTTGCTCAGGGGCACCTCGGCAGAGCTCAGGCACCTCTCCAGCTACCAGACCAACTTCCATATTTGGTCCGCACTGGGACTTGAACTGGCAACCCTCCAGTTCCCAAACCAAGTCCCTACAGACTGAGCTACTGCCACCCACAATTTGGAGGCTAACATTGAAGCGCTGCACTTTATTTATGTGTCATCATGGTATCACAGGGAGCTCAAGTCTTTCAGCTGGACTCCAATAATCTTAGATTATCTTAGAATCTTAATCTTTTACGATGTGGTTCAAACTGTTCTTGTCCTTCACAGACAACCCATTGAACCAACAGATAAAAGAAAATGTTAAAGACTGTCGATAAAAGAATGATAAAAGCTACATAAAATGCTTTGTGAAACACTAAAAGAGTTCAGCCTCTGCATCAAATGACTCACATAAGACATTTATAAAACACTCAAAAACATTAACCATCATAGAGAAGATTGAATATGAAAATAAGTTTAAAGAGATGCAAAATGAATTGCAGTTCTTCTTTTAACAACAGAGCGCTATGTATTTATGCGTCTCTTGTTTGACGCCCTACGTCACTCGTGTGACTGTCAGCAGCTGCAGAGCAGAGAGAAGCAGTTGGTTGTAACAAGCAGGCGTTATCATGGCAGCTGAGGACGCTCCACCGTCTTTTAAATCGAAGGTGTGGAAGCATTTTGGCTTTCCCCGAGACAGAAAATGAAAGAGGTGAGAAGATAACAGACGAGACAAAAACTGAGTGCAAATATTACAAGAAGACAGAAGAACTACACAAATAGAACGACCAACATGATGCAGCATTTAACCCGACACCACAACGAGAAGCTCCAATCACCTCCACTTGTTGAGAGAAAAACAAACATTGAAAGCCAAACCACGCTGACGAGCGAGTTCGCAGCCTCGCTCGCCCCAACGAGTGCAAGAGCCAAAGAGATCATGAGGTGTATTGGTGTTTTCATGAAAAAATCGAAGGAATCTTTTCCAGTCATCTTTTAATTTGTCTTCAGTCTCATTTTTTCTCAAATCGTGAGAGAATTGTATGGTTAACCCAGGAAATCAAAAATCAAAAATCGATATAATATCGCCCCACAAAATATCACGATACTATTCTGTATCGATTTTTTCCCCCACCTCTAATATTTATGAGGCTGCAAATGTAGCTCCTAACTTGTCCCCACACGTTACAGCTTTTTGTGTCTTCTGTTTTTCAAAAGATGTACCGGTGGAGGGAAACCAGTGCAGTTCTTCGTCTTTTGCCCATCCTGATCAACATGGAGATGCCCCGGAAGCGCAAGGGCAGCATCGACCAGTAAGTCCTTTAATCAAACTTCTTTGTTTTATTTTTTCTTCAGAGAAAATCTTTTTATCTATAAATCTTTTTGCTAATAATGGATTTTCTTACTAGGGATTCAAATCTGCTTCCATCCCTGAAGACATGGAGGACGACCCAAATGGGTACTGTGAGCTCCCTGATGTAGTTTGTGCTTTTGTGTATTTGAAGACATGTTAAATGTGTTCCTTCTGCTCTACAGGTCAGATGAGGAGGACCAACATGCCAAAATGAAATGCCTCAGGTCGGTTGCCTCTCATTTGTAACATTTCTTCTAATTTAAATATACGTATACCCAAAATTGTAACATTTGGAGAGATGCTACATTTCATGGATAAATGGCTCATAAGGTAAAAGGAGGAAACTCATTGGAGCTTCTTTATTATTTAATGTCTCTTGCAGGGAACCGCACAGCCAAATTGAGAAGAGAAGACGGACAAAATGAACCATCTCATTGACAAACTGTCGGCCATGATACCTACTTGTAACCCCATGTCAAGGAAGCTGGACAAACTCACTGTGCTCAGAATGGCTGTGCAGCACCTCAAATCTCTGAAAGGTACCAAGTCAAGCGATGCCATTTCTCTTAAAAACAAACAAAAAAAAAAGATAGACCCTTTCTGATGCATTCAGTAAATTCAAGGATAATCAGTTTTTCTGAATTTGATCAT